AGTCTGCTCCATTGTCCTATTGTTCTTACTGTTAGGAAGTTTTTCCTGAAATTTAATCTAAATCCGTTATGTTGTAGTTTGAACCCATTGCCTCTTGTCCTGCCCTCTGTGGCAAGCGACAATAATTTTTCTCCATCTTATTAAGGCAGCCTTTCAAGTATTTGAAGACCCCTATCATATCTCCCCTTAATCGCCTCTTTTCCAAACGACACATACCCATTTCCTTCAGCCTTTGCTCATGTGGCTTGCGTTCCATCCCTTTGATCATCTTGGTTGCCCGCCTCTGGATCCCTTCCAGTTTCTCTACATCCTTTCTATACACTGGTGACCAAAATTGGACACAGTTCTCCAGCTGAGGCCACACCAGCACCGAGTGAAGCGGTACAATCACCTTCCGTGATTTGCCTGCTGTGCCTCTGTTAATGCAACTCCAAACTGCATTTGCTTTTTCTGCAGCAGCATCGCATTGCTAACTCATAGTGACGCTGTGATCCACCACAACTCCCAGATCCTTCTCAGCCGTGCTGCTGCCAAGCCAGTTACCCTCCATTTTGTATTTGCGCGTTTGGTTTTTCTTCTCTAAGTGTAGCACCTTACATTTGTCTTTGTTGAATTTCATTTTGTTGTCTATAGCCCAGTTCTCCAATTTATCAAGATCCCTTTGAATGTTAGCACTACCCTCCAGAGGGTTGACAACCCTCCCCCACAGCTTTGGGTCATCTGAAAATTTGATCAGTATGCTCTGTATTCCGACATCCGGGTAATTAATAAAGATGTTAAACAACACCGAACCCGGAACAGATCTCTGTGGAACCCCACTTGAGACCTCCCTCCAATCTGACATTCCATTAATAGTTACTCTTTGTTTGTGGTTGTCTAACCTGTTATGTATCCACTTAATGGCAGTTCCACTGAGCCTGCATTTCTCCAGCCACTTATCAGAATGTCATGTGGCACTATATATCAAAAGCCTTGTACAAGTCCAGGTATATTATGTCCACAGCATTCCCCCTAACCACTAAACCAGTTATCCTGTCAAAGGAGGAAATCAATCCATGCTGGCTGCTCATGATCACCCTCCATCCTCCAGGTATTCGCACACTGAATGTTTTAGACACTGCTCTAGTAGCTTCCGAGGTATCGGGGTCAGGTGGACTGGTCTGTAGTTCCCCAGCTTCTTCTTCCCCCCCCCTTTTTAAAGATGGGCTCTACTTTAGCCCTGCTTCAGGCTTCCAGGACCTCGCTTGTCATCCCTGAGTTTGCAAATATTACTGCCACTGGCTCTGAGATTTCTTTAGCTAATTCCTTCAGCACCCTGGGGTGAATAGCATCCAGATTAGTCAGAAGATCTTTAACATGTTCTTTACTTATCTTGATCTGCATCCCTCCCCCTTTTTATTGTCTATGATAACTTCATGAGTCATCTGGTCACATTATTTTTTGTGTGAAGACTGAAGCAAAGTAGGTGTTGAGCAGCTCTGCCTTCCTATCATCCTCTGTTACCAGCTCACCTTCTCCACTGAGCAGAGGATGCATACCATCCCTGACCTTTATTTTTTTTGTCCAACCTATTTGTAGAAACCTTCTTGTTGTCTCTAACATTTCTTGCCAGCTGAAACTCATTCTTTGTCTTGGCTTTCCTGACTGTGTCCCTACATGTTCGCACTATTCCCATTATATTTCCTTGGGGACATGCCCCTCCTTCCATTTCCTGTATGGATCCCTTTTCATTTTTAGATAGCTAAAAAGTTCCTTGTGCAGCCACGCTGGTCTGCTGTGGCTCTTCTTCTCTTTCCTCTGCGTCGGAATAGCTTGATGTTGAGCCTCTAGCATTACAGCTTTTAGGAACTGCCAGCCCTCCGACTCTTTTTCTTCCTAATTGGTCTTTCCACAGGACCCTGTCTACTATTTCTCTGAGTTGGTTGAAATCTGCCTTTTTGAAATCCATTGTCCTTGGTTTGCTGTTCTCGTGTCCTCGTTTCCTTAGGATCTTGAATTCCATCAGATCACGTTCACTTCCTCCCAAGTTCCCGACCATCTTCCCATTCACAACTAATTCATCCCTGTTGGTCAAAACCATAACCAAAACGGATGACCCCCTAGTTGTTTCCTCAACTTTCTGATTCAGAAAGTTGTTCCCTACACATGCTAAGAACTCGCAGGACATATGTTTTGAAATTATGTAAAGGTCTTCCAACAGATATTAGGGAAGTTAAAATCCCCCAATTAACACAAGCTCATGTGTATTAGCTAATCTTGTTGTCTGCTTGTAGAACGCCTGACAAAACACAGACAAAAAGACAGTATGTAATTAACTTTGTACTCTATCTGGGGTTAAGATATTAAGACTGTAACTTCAAGATTATGAATTGTCCTTAAATTGTTAAATGATCCAGTGCTGAAAGGCCAAAGGGCACAGCAGTGTGATTCTTTTCATTGAATTCAAAGTTGTTATTTTCAAGAGAGTTAGCATGTTGGTGACGGGGGAGTGAGAATGATAGTATATCAGATTTGCTCACTTTTCTCTCATTCTAGTTTGGAAAACATACTGAGCATTGCGCCCACATTCTGAATTAGAACACCAATCTCCTTGGTTCTATTACATAAACCGGAAGCAGCGCCTGCGAAGTCCCTGATCACAGCAAGAGCTATTTCAGCAGTAAATAGCTTTATGAGGAACATCCTTTGCCAGGAGACAATCGGCCAAAGCAGCTATGGGAATTTTTTAAATTTATTTTCTAATAACTAGACCACAATGACAGTCTTGACACTAGAACAGCTCATTTCATCTCATAATTATCTCCAACCCGCCCTGAACTCCCCTCTTTCCTCAAAGCAAATACAACCACCATTATTGCCTTCTCAAAAGCATAAACAGAGCAACGAAAGACCCGGCTGAAACGCGATTTCTATCCGGATTCAGCTGCATGCTCTGCTACGACAAGAACTAAACTCATTTTTTTTGTTGTTTTTCTTTTGTTTACTCTACTAACTCCCAGTTTCTCATGTTTAAATCTTTTCCATCTAGAAGGGCAAGTTCAATGCTTTAACTGCATCAACTGTAGTTAACAAGGCGGAATACAGACTGATGTTACAAAGGTTGTGTAGAAGCCCCCTTTCTCCTGTTCTTCAGACAGCTGCAGGGTTCCTGCAAACCACAAATTCTCATACTGACCCTGTTTCGTCTCATTGTTCCCTTGTGCTTCACCACCTCCAATCAACCCATGCACTGATTTCAACAGATCTATGACAGATTATACCAACAGAAGATCCGGCCATACAACTTTCCTTTTTCTGTGAAGCACCTAGCACACTTCTAGGCATTTGGTAATAACAACAGATTTAATAAAAGGCTTGATTATTCCACATACCCCTTCAAAACTTCCGATATGACGCTCTTATTTTAATCAATGTTCTCAAATTCCAAGTGCTTGACGTTTACACGCCTCTAAAAAGACAGAACCCTACTTCTAGTGATCATGCATAGGCCCATTTGTTAATTGTGAGCAAGCCCCTGGGGACTTTTTGTAACCAAGTATGGTTTATGACCTGAAATGTAAATAAAACACACTGAGTGAAGTATATGCAGGTATGTCACCACACAGGTGCACATCTACAAGAGGCGAGGGGAGGGGAAGTAAATTACCTTTCCCTCCCCATGCCTGTTACTTGCTCAACTCAACAATGAAATCAGAATTAGCTGCGTGCCTCTGATATGAACAAGAAACAAACGTGACCTCACATCCTATTGCTGTGACCTAATAAAACAGACTATGGTCAACAGTATAAAACATACTGCAGGCCACCATCCCGTGTCTGCAGGGAGATGGATCACCTAACAGGCCTTTTCCTTTTCTAAGTCTGAAAAAAAGAAGAGAAAATTGGGCCAGTCTGTGGTATTCATCATGTGCTAATTATTCTGATGTCTTCATGCTGTGGAGATCAAATTGGGGCAAAGCTACCTATCTCCCTTCAATCAGACAAGTACTTCTTATGGCAAGGCATCAGAATGAACTGCTTATGTTGGTAGTTTTATAGAACAAGAAAGAAGGGCACTAGCCTTTTATTCCCTCCCTAGCATCACGTTATCTAAATAGATTTCCCCCCACCCACCCTTGTATGAAATGGACAGTTCCTAAAGGTTTGGGATTCACCAGAAGACTTTCCACTGGGTTAAAGATATGGGCTGAGACGGTCGATGCTGCTTAAGAGACGTGGACACCCAGTTCCCCTCGATAGCTTGGAAAATCTCAGCGGCAGAGTTAATGTGACCTATCAGTCACTGGCTCAAATTTAGCCCTGGAGCTGATGGCATGGGGTGACCACACGCCACTGCCAGTTCTTTTCGGTTGTCTGTGAAATGAGTTCAGTGGTCTCAGCTTAGTTCCCAAGGAGCAGATACATCTCAAGGATCCATATCACAAAAGCCACTAACACAATGGTTACCTTTGCTGACAGTCTGAGGGAGGCAAAGATCTAAATGGCCCAAGGAGACTGAATATTGTTCTCACCTGTAAGGCTAGTGGTCCCTACATCCGTGGAAGTGAGGTGCATTGGTAGACAGCTTGGGGAAACTTGTCCTACTGCGTAGATTGTATCTACTGTGTACGCAGAGGACTCCAGCCTCTCGGGTCTTTCACAAGCACTAATTCCCTTTTTAAATCGTCTCTTTTTAAAATCTACTGATAAGCTGGGGAGGAGGAGAATATATGAATGTCACCATTTCCCAGACGACAACGCCTCTTGAAAGCCAAACAGTCAGTGAACCACTCTGACCACAGAAAGGCCCCAAATAGCTTTTCAATTCCGAGATCAAGGTCCTGATGGGAAGAGTCACTGTGGCCAGCAACCATGCCATCCACTCCCTGGGGAGAGGAGGAATGATCTGGTATGGATCACCTTAACCTGACACTTGTGGGCTGTGAATATAAAGGATTGTTGCTGTGTGGTCAGGAGGAGAGACCGGCTAAAGGTCCTGTGCATCCGTCTTCACCTCTTACCTGATTCTTCCCCCTTCGTCGATAATTCCTCCTCACCAGGTTCTTGTAGTTCTCATTCTTCTTGGTCAGGTAGTAATAGAGCACGCAGTCTGCCACCGTCTGTAACGACACAGGAAGTGTCCACATTTTCGACACCAGCATTCTTTCAAAGCGCAGGATCCCAGCACTGGGCGTTTGGGCACACGCTACACACGGCATGTTTCCAGACCCCAATACAGCTGGGTTTCCTTCGATTACTGGAGGTTTGCAGGGCAAAAAACATTCCCACACCCACCTAGAGCCAGTCTTTCCCTTGAGAGCTCAGTATGGGCCCAGCGATTTGGGAGAGATGCTCAGCCATGGAACAGAGCGAGCCCCCATGCGTGCCCAGGGCACTCAACACCCAGCAAACTTTAAAGTGACGAGCTGGGACCCCTTCCTATAAGTGCACCCCTATAACTGCACCCCACCCTATAAGTGCCAGAATAGAGCGCTGGATCCCACAGTTGCTGCGTTGAACACATTTCGCTGACATATTGAGTCCTCTGCATTCAGAAGCTGTTGCCTGGATTCCAATTACAATGCTCAGAGAGAGGCAGGCACCGGCCTAGAGGAAGGACTTATGGACCAGTTGCATTAGAAAACAGGAGAAAGGGGGAGGCTGGAAGACGACGGTGCTTTAGTACAGAAGGCAGCTGCACAGTGAGGCGGCTCTGTCGACAGGATGAATACCTGCTGACACACCTGTCACATTCACGCAGGGAGAATACAGCTGTTTGCAAAACAGAGTCTGGTTGTTCTAAGGCATTAATTGGATCCCTTTCTATAACCACGATTACACGCACACACACCCGCTACGCTCTCTAGAGGAGGGTCTTTGGGTCTGTTACCCTGTTTGCTAGTTGGGATGAGAAGTGGAGCTTTCTGCTCCAGAATCTGAGTGCGTTAATCCAGGCTACGATGATATTCTCCTGAGGCAGAAGTTCTGCAGCCAGAAGTTGGTTTGCAACTTGGACAGCCAGGACAATAAGTGGCTGGCCGTGTCCTAGCAGATCCCATCCTTTCAGAGAAAGGGCAGTCTCTCTGCTAGCGCACTGGTCTGGGACTCAGGAGACCTGGACTCTATTCCCACCTCTGCCACTGACCTGCTGTGTGACCTTGGACAAGTCACTTCTCTGCTCTGCACCTCAGTTTCCCCATCTGTGAAGTGGCAATAATGATGCTTCCCTCCTTTGAAAAGTGTTTGAGATCTACAGGTCAAAAGTGCTAGGACTGGAGTGCTAGCCTAGAGACTTCCTTCCCAGAGGCTGCAACTTTGTGCCCATTTAGGATTTACCGATATGACACCACCCAAACCTCCAGGCTGCCCTGCTCTGGTGCAGATTACTCGTCTTGTCTTGGGAGGAACAGAAGATTCACTATATTCTGGGGTCTGCTTTTCAAATACTTCCTTTGTTTGTCCAACTAGTGGGGGTCAAAAAAGCCCCTTGGTGTAAATCAATCCACCAGGAATGTGCACTAGGGAGCTTGGGCCATTTCAGTGTCTACCCACCACTAAAAACCTCTTGGCTATTGATGGTTTTTCAGAATTAAAAAAAGAAAGAAATGATAATGCAAGAGATCAGTGGGTTACTGTTCACAACATCTCTGGGGCCCCACCCTGAGTTGAGACAGGGGCAGCACACTGGACAGGGCACGCCGGATGTCTGCAACCCCCAATACATGACAGTCCAGTCAATGGGAGATGCCTACAAAATGTGGGATAAAGCAGAGGCGTGGGTTTAGGTGCCCAGACAGTAGGTTTGAAAATCCCGACACCCTGGGACCCTGAGCTCCAAATCCCTTCAGAGCGGACTCCGCCTCTCATCTTTCCAAGCTAAGCCAAAACCCATCTACTTCATTTCACGTGGGGTCATTCAGATGACACCATAAAAACTAAGGTCCTTGCCTGCTCTCCACAGACACTCCAGTCCCATGTCATCTCATAAAAATAGGGATATGTCCTGATGTCCTTGGCCAGCACTTTCCCTCCTCTGGCTACTGTGCAGCCACCTCGCTGGCTCCCTCTGCTGCAGAAGTGACTGCCTTTCCACAGCAAGTACCGTTACTCTGATTCTTTGGTGAAAGAGGCTCTGTGGCAACACAGGGCTTTATAAAAGAAGGCTTTTCAATAGGAGGAATAGTTCTGTGCATTAGATACTTTGGGAATGGGTGCAAGAGAAACACTTGAGATAAATGAAAGACAGATAGAGACAGAGAAGGGGTTGAAAATCACTTCGTTACAAACCAAACCAACTTACCTTCCTGTCCAAAAATGAAGCAATCACACCAAAATTCTTTGGATGCTGCATGAACCTAGAGAGCAAGAGACAGAAGGTTAAAGTGAAAGCCTGGAGACCTCTTTGTTTGTTCTTCATGTTTGCCTTTGTGATCCCAAGCCCTGGCCTTGCAGCTGCCTGCGCACTCCATCTGCTGGCAGAGCTAGCCTTGAATCCTAAAGTCAGAGGGCAGTGGGGCGGTGGGAGGGAGCTTTTCAAGTGACTCATTGGTTTGAAAAAATATTTATTTGTCCTGATGAGGCAGCTTCCCAGAAAGAGGAGAACTTTAAATGTAGCCCATTCAAGTTTTGTTGACTGGGAGTTGAAGGTGGAGGGAGAAAATGTCTCCTCCCCCCACCCCCAGTATTTTGGCTTTTATTCCACAGGTTTGCATAGCGGGGCAGGGAAGGACAGAAGAAATAGGACAAGAAGCTTCAGCATCTTGAAGCAGATAGCACCATGGAGCGGTCTTCGGCAATCGGCAAAATCACATACCACAGGAAAGCCTAAGAACTACTCCACTTCGTGCCAGCCTCTCTCAAACCCTGCCAAAGGAAAGAGAGGCCAAAGATTGCCACTGATTCCCTTTGAGTGCCAAGCGTAAGAACGAGCGAGGAGTTTGCAAACGGAAAACAAATGACCTGTTTCGAGGAAGTTCCAGGGAAATCACGAAGCATGATTAAAATGCCTTGGCATCACCAGGCCCAGCTGCTGGTCAGAAGTCCTCGGGGAGAAGTGACAGCCAGGCATGGCAGCTGCGCTCCTGGGAGAGCGTCAAACTCACTCAGCCCCTTCCAGTAAAAGACCCAAATGCTCGCCCGCCTGTTTCCCTGCAGTTTTGCTCACGCAGCCTGAGAAAGGCAAGAGGTGACAATTCTGACCCCACTGAAGTCAATGAGAGCTTTGCCATTGACTTCAGTGGAGCCAGGGGTCCACCAAACAAGTCCATCAGTGCTAGCAGCCCAGGGTTTTGACCCCACTGCCTGCCTGCCATTCATCGGGATGCGCTCTGAGCGTAGCAGCTCACACAACAGACCTGCATAGCCGGGCCTGGTGTTCTCATAAGGAGGGTTTGGAACAATCCCCTCCCCACCACACACAGAGGCTCTGCAGCCTCATGGTTGCAGTAGCCTCTGCTTGGGTAGCTGCCCCCTCCTGCAAAGCTATGGCTGCATCGGCTACCCAGTGCAGCCACCCTCCCCAGATGCATTTTCCCCATCGTCTGATGAACTGATAGAGTCGCCAAGAGAGGTTAGGAGCCATGACTTGATCATGAGATTTCCCCATCTATATTCTTACGATGGATGATCTCCTAAAGAATACGGGGGTTAATGAAGCCACCACCTGCTGCTTGGTTTATGCTGCAATTGAGCCCAGAGCTCTGATGCCAAGAACACCAGCCTGCAGCTGCAAAGACCCAGTCTGGCCTGAGAAGGGGAAGGACGAGAAAAGACCGAGCACAGTCTCCCAAGCAGGATCTCAGTAGCTGGCAGTGATGTGCTAAGGGAACTCGGAATTAACGTCTGGCGTCAAACCGGCAGCCACGTAAGTGACCAGCAAGAAACGGACTGATTCTTAAGCAAAGGCTGAGCAAACGTGGTGTGAGAAATTGGACATCCTTTGAAGTGGTTGCCCAAGGCAAGGGTTTGCCTGTAGGAAAGGGTCCTTAGTGCAGGTTTCACTGTAATTTAACAGCTTCATGCCTGAAAAACATCCCATGGTGCAGAGAACAGAATGTTCTGGCTGGTGCCACATTACCTCTGCACTGGGTGTGGGTGGTGAATGGGGTCTTGGAAAACTATTTCATGGGCAGCTCACCTGAACGCAACTGTGACCCATTATAAACCACTCCTATTTCCTCTCACCTTTTGGCTGGCATGGCAGGGGGCTGACTACTGTAAGAAACACCCCAGGGATGACTCGAAAACTACGAGGGACAAAGGGTTCCAAATGTTGCCAGCTAACGAAACCTGTCTGAACAGATGCATCATCGCTTGCGTCTGTTAAAGCCTGGCTTTTAATGCGCTCTCCCCCCCATGTTTAAAGACAGCACAGTGGGTAATTAAAAAGTGCAACCCCAACTGGGGGAAACAGCCGCCTTTCACGTGTTATTTCAGCTTGTTGCTGGAACTGCAGGACAACACGAGTAGTTAGCAGGCTTCTGAGTTACCCAAGAGATTGACAGTGCGATGGAGGTTTGGAGGGACTCTTCCTCCTCTGCAGAACACACACATGGTGTCAGCAGGCTCTACCCCAGCTGGAGCAGCTAATAGCGACTCTGAGCGGCTGCACCTCCAGCAGGGAGAAAGCCTACAATGCAAAAGCAACAGCTCCTCTAATTAACCCCTCTTCTTTAACTAGCGGGACAGGACTGAAGAGCATTTGGCATAAGCTATTCCTGGCCTGAAAGGGAAAAACAAACTGGTGCTTTGCCAAAGGAAAGCAAGCTTAGCTATGGCTAAGGACTGTCTGTGTTTAAGCAAAATACCTTCCCTGGGTTCCCCCGACAAGACTGCTCCCTTAGCCTTGGCATAGAGGAATGCAGTGGAATGGAAATTCAGCTGGGAGAAGTTCAGCACAATTCAGCCTGGCCCAGAAATGCCCCTTGCTGGATTTGTGCTGCTCCCAGAGCGAGTGGCTCTCTGACAGCAGACAGAACACAGCAGGTCGCAAGTCAAACCTTCCTGAGGGCCGCCTATGCAGTCACACATCTGACTCGGAGTTACGGGATTGGCAAAATCACTGCCTCGGGAAAACTCTCGGTAGACAAGAGCTGGACCGTACGGGCTGGCTGCTCCCTCTGATGGAAGGCAGAGGGCTAAGAGGCTGAACGTTCTAATGAAACATACGTGGGACTTGAAGTCCAGCTCCCGAGCTTGGTTCTGCTGCCGATTCTCTGTACGACCTTGGGCAAGTCAGAACCTCCCTGCCTCGGTTTCTCTGAGAGTGTAAGGTCACTGGTTAACTCACAGGGGTGTTGTCAGGTTTGAACGATCGATGTCTGCCCAAGGCTTCACAGACACAGAGCCTGATTCTGATCTAACTGCACTGGCTTTATTATCCCAGTGTAACTGCTGACTTAGGTGGAGCGATTCCTGATTTATACGTGCTGAAGTGAGACTGGAATCAGGACCCAGACCGCCCTCAGGATGGTCACTGTAATCAATGACTGCAGCAGAGCTGGAGCTAGTCAGAGCTGCAGCCAGCAGATGGCTTTCCCGGGGCAACAAGGGAACATAAATGGGGGCACTGAGCATGTGGGAGGTGGCCAGTGTGGAGGATGGAGCAGCAGGAACGCAGCGCTTGGGAGCTTACAATAAAGGCCCCTTTAAACATAACCCATCTGCAGCTGCAGGCTGTTACGTCAAGTGTCCTAAAGTGCGAATCTAGACAAATATCATACCACATGCTGGAGAGCTCTTCTGTGGTATGTGACTAAAGGAGAAACTGAGATGTTAAAAAAGAATCAGAGACACTCTGACAAAATGGGATCACATCACAGATCTGAGGCTGTTTGTCATGTACTAAACGTATAAACAAATGGCTGATCAAGAAACTTGGTTTTACTGCAGTTTTATAAATATGCATGACTCTTCATATCAGAGCAGAGCAATGCAATGCAAAACAACAATATGCTTTTTCAAAGTCAGCACTTGCAAGGCTGCTAACACTCAGATATACTTCTGGTACCATGGGTGAGTTGTGCTTTCAAAGAGACCCTGATTGTCTTCAGGCAGGGCCATACTCCCATGCTGTGTTCTTTAGGGCAGGAACTGTTTTCTCCATTGTGTGCGCCGCAGTGCACAGCACAATAAAGGAAAACCGGGGCTTCTAGCTGTAATCACGAAAACAACAATAGAACAACAACGTGACACTCTACTTCTCTACTGGCACCACCCACATCCAAGTTTGGGACAAGCTAAAAGGGCTGCGTAAAATAAAGCAAGCTGAACCTTTGTCCAACTTGAACGGAACTGGAATCTGCCTTACGTTCTGAGTAAGTCTGGTTAAACTGACCCCAAGATTGTTGATCTTCAGGACAGGCCACAAGGGCCACCTATTTTTATCTGAGTGTACCAGTGATGAACGGCTGCAAGACCCAGGGTCCCATTGGGTTTCATGGGCTGGAGAGATTGAAGTCAGGTCAAGCTGAATTGTGTCAATGTCTGTAAATTGTATTGTACGTGTGTCTTGCACTTTGGACGGCCCACCCTGACAAAAATGAAACCATCATGCATGGACGATGCTACAGTCATGCACGGAATCTTCCAGTGTCATTAACCAGGCCTGATCCTTGCATTTCCCTTAATTTTACTTTAAATTATTAACCCTGGCATCATTCCAGGTGCAATACTTGTCGTTTTGATGGCCTGGGAGACACACAATATACTTAAAAAGGCTAACAATACAGGGTTTTTAAGAAGGGTTTTTTGGTGCATCTTTGCAATTGCTTGCTTCAGTTGCATGTGGAAGTAACTATGAGGAAGGCCAAAGGTATTCCTGACATGGAGAAAACCAGGACAGACTGGAAGTCTCCAAAGAACCTCTCCAGATAAGGCTTGAGATGAGCTGAGCCCAGCGACCTTGTCTAGTTCAAAGTATGTATTTCCCTTTTCATATGCAGTGTGTCTATTCCAATGGCTCCCCATACCAAACCAAACCTTTAGATCGGCTCCTCTTGGGCATATTCTGGCTTGCACCTGGGTCCTTTTTCCAAGGTTCAGTCTCATCCAAGTTATCAGACTGCCTGGTACAGCTAACACCATTTGGAGTTTTTCTAAAAAACCTTTGTGATTCGCCAGTCATTGCTAGCTACAGCCCAGCAGCCATTCAAGCTACTGCAAGGAATTCAGCTTCCAAAACACGCTGCAGTGCACGCACTGGTAGCAGCCAGGGTGTCATCACAGAATCTACCACTGCTTTCCACTACCACCATATTGCCTGCACAACCCAGGGCCCAGTGCTCAAGCCGTTATCCAGCCCGTACGTCACACTTCCCAACACCTAATTCCCATTGCCTATGGTCGGCCACTTCTCAGTCCACTCACTTTTCCCGAAAGGTCTCCTTCTCCTGTTCGCTCCACATGTTCATCACCTGCCGGTCCTTATACACCTTCATGGGGTCATCCATCAGGCCGTTCATGTTGATGAATTTAATGCGCTGCTGGTCAGCATCGTATAGCATGGGGGGGATGACGGCTAGCTGGCGCATCTGCTTCTCCAGGTTCTTTGGGAAAGAAAGCAAAGGGGACGGTTCTCATCAGCATCACAGAGCCCAGGGGAGAATCAGAGGGGACAGATGTTCATAGGGAAAGGACAGGTTGTGGGACCAGGAGACTTTAAAGGCAAGTACTAGACAGCTTTATTGCTGGAGTAACCCTAAATTTAATATTGAAAGAAGCTGTCACCCTCAGCAGGGAAATAGTTAATCTTCCCTTTGGAAATAAAAGGCTCTTGAGACACATTGTAAAAATGTTTGACCCAAGGAAACCAACTCCCGTGCTCAAAGCTAGAGACAGGCAAAATCAGGGCTCCCCGGGGGTTTGCAAACCCTTGTCAGTCAGTCTGGGTTTTGTAAAAATCATACAAAGAGTGGCTCAAATCTCAACCGCACAGTTTGGATGCAAGCAGGAGAGGGTCCAGTTTTGCATATATCTTGGTCTGAATGTTATTTTGCAAAGGGGGGGACTGAAGGGGTCGGGAGGTGGAAAAGATGGGTCTGGAGCCAGTCTCATTCCATGGGAACCTTTCGTTTTTATGAAACCTTTCCTAACACCCTCCTCCCATTTCCCTTCTGCTCTCAGTGTGGTTTGAAACTCAAACGACAGTGTCTTCGAAGCACTGGAGACAATAACTGAATGGACTTCTCCACACAACGCTCGAGCCGTATACCCTGTATTTGCTACGAAGTGGGTCTAATTGCCACTCGGTAACCACACAGGCTAGAGTCAGGTTCATGTCTGACATTCACCCAAAGGCCACTTTGTCCGTTCACGGCACAACTCAGCCACCATTTCTTATTGCCACGTTAGATGCTGAAACAAACGGCAGATTCTCCGCTTTGCCACCGAAAGTGACAGCCTCTTGCTGTGCTGTAATCCCTTTTTTCCCTTACTGTTAAACACTTTGGGGCAGATTCTGACGCCCATACTCTAAATTTATTAACGGCAGCAAAATTCATGAGCAGTCCCTATTGACGTCAGTGGAGCTCTTCACGGTGTCAAACACGGACCCAGCGTGAGTAAAGATCTCAGAATCTGGCCCTCGCTGATTAAGGACTGGGGAAGCTCTGGAGTGGCATGTTCTGACCTTGATTTGTAACCAGGTGTCAGTACTTCAGAGAACGCTGAACTGCTAAGACTCCAGAGGGTTGTAAACCTAGCCAGAGTCTCTTACTCTGCAAAGAGTCTTGATGCTTCACTATCAAATTCAGGCACAAACTCCACATCCTAACACAGGAGATGATGGGAGTTAGTGCCGGTCCAAAGAACAGGAGTTACAGCTGTCTGGCATAGCTCTCCGACGGATACAAAGCTGCTTCCTCTTAGCTTCCCACATCCTCAAACTCCACAGCAACACCTCTGACTCCGGCAACGCCTCTGATGACATTCAAAATGCTTACAGCTCTCAAGGATGTTCTTTTAATGAGAGGTAAGCGCCAGTTTTCACTTAGTGAGCGGGTTGGCCAGGACAAACACAGGCTGGCCAACAACATTTAACGAGCAGAGCCATGACGTGTAACGACATAATTAGCACCAGTTCAGCTCACGATGGACCAGCCCCAAAAGAGCAGCGTTGAATCAGATCTCTGATCTGTTCGGTGCTGGTCTTGGGCAACAGCTAAGGCTCTATCTTCGGCCAAGTCAACACTAAAATGTTAGGTGAACCCAGCGACCTTGCTCAGGGCTGTGAAAACTTCACACCCCTGAGTGAGGCAGTGAAGCCGACCTAACCCCTGGTGCAGCCTGCGCTAGGTTGATGGAAGAATTCTTCACTAGCCTAGCTACTGCCTCTTGGGGAGATGGATTAAGGGCAGCAGACCCCTCCCATCGCCGTAGGGAACGTCGACACGGAAGCTCTGCAGCTGTGCCGCTGTCCCAGTTTCAATATAGATGTAGCCCAAGCTTGGCGGATATGGCATAACGCACATTCCAGCTGTTTGCTCCATCTCACTCCTCTGTAGGAACGTTCTCCACAACGGAGCACCAGCGATCGCCCTTGGCTGTGGGCCCACTCGCCGAGTACTTTAGTTCCTGGAGGAGATCAGTGCCAGGAAGCGCATCAGGCCCCCTCTGTGAAGAACAAATGGAAGCATGGTGCCTATCTGTCCCTGAGAACTAAGCTCATGGGTCAGCCTCTAACTTGGTCAAAGCAAACTCCCTCCCAGCCAAGGGCACAGCAAGTACATGCAGGAAACATCTCCGCTATTGCTAGGCAGCAGTTGCTGTCTCTTCCCAAGCACGAACCCATTCTCGACAGCTTGCGATCAGAGCCAGCCAAGCGGAACCCTCGCGAAACCAGATCCAGGAGAAGCCAATGTCACTGGGACAGCCTGCGATGAACAGAGCACTCAAGAGAGTCAATCCGACTGGCTGATGTACAAACCATTCATCCCATAGGAATCCCCTGCAGGAAACCGCATCTCCCGTTAAAATATTATGCATAAACCTGTGCTGTTGTGGGAGTCTGTTCCCCCACCCCCGATTTCAGTTTAAAAGAGTATCCGGTTTGTAGGAACAATGACCGGCTGGAGTTGATGGCCTGAGACACATTTGAGCGCAAAAAATGCCCTGCCACCTTGACTGTTATTTCATTACGTGAATTCCTCTTAAAGATCCTGCTGCTTCCTAGCAACGAGGATGGGGAGTGAGATGAGGTCAGCCCTGATGGGTGCTCCAGTGGGATGCTGCTTGCTTGCACAGATTCTGCTCACTCTCCCAAGCCCCGCTCAGGGTTCTGTCAGGGAATCACATCCTGTGTATGACAGTGTTTACTAAACACAGCCGGCCTGACATTAGTTGAATGCGGCACCAGCTCCATCGTCAGGGTCTGTTGTGACTGCACTGAGTTCCCCAGAGGGAAGGGGGAATGGGGCGGGTGGGGAAAAAAAAGGAAGGAAAAATGGCGACCTGGTCTCACCTCTTGTTCCGAGAGCCCATCGATAATTTCTGACACCTCGTGTTCGCTGCGTGCGGCCGACATGGAGAGACCGCTGCCCCTCTGTCCTACCCTGCTGGGAAATGGCAGTGAAACACTGAAAAACGTATGCCCTGTCTTGTACTTGGCACCGCGCCTCGATCATTTCCCGGGACTCCTCGCATTCGAAAGGTGGTGCAGTCAAAACAGGGAACAGAGCCTGCCCTGGAGGCGAGAGGGAAGACCTCGCACACATGGCCTACAATTAAAGAAAACCAAACCAAACCCATGTCCTTCCCTGCGTCTACCTGGAGACTTAGTGTGCAGCAAGCCAGGGTGCAAATCTGGAGTGCGCTAGCCAGCTGCACACTCAGCAGCAGTGTGTCAAAGGAATTTCCAGTGCGCAGGAGCAGCGTCCACCTGGCGACTTAGGGCCAGGCAGGATATTGGGCTGTACATTCACACCCTGGCTTGCCACACGCTGCATCTCCATGTAGATAAACCTTTAGATTAACTCGAGAAATATTTACAATCCATATGACTTTCCACCATAGTTTTGCATTTCATTCATCCTGAACACTGCAATAAACCAGTCACTGTTTCACTTCTGCTTCTGCTCAGCTCCAGGTCATCTTGCCCACTGCGGTTGAGATTGGGCTGCAAATGCTGCAGGGAAATGCTTAGACCCAGACACAGAAAGCTTTTCATTAACCATTTTTTTTTTTAAAAGCATGAAAAACCTGGCTGTTAATATTAGAATTTTTTTTAACGCTTTTCTTTTTAAGCAGCTAAGCCCTAAACATGGGGTCTCAACTCCCGGACAGAGCCTACACTCTTTTATTTAACTACACACATCTTTTTAAAAGCTAAAAGACAAAGAAGCTGTAGGGTGGGACTTTTACAACTCTGCTCGCACTGAGGTCAATGGTAGAACTCCCACTGAATATGGCGCCACGCTAAACAGTCTGGGTCCTGACTTGCTAAGGCTTCTTAAGCCGACAACCGGCTGGTTTCAGCGAAACAGGGCTGAGGTCAGGACCCCTCTCAGTGAGGGGCCATCGACTTTGGCAGCACCTTCTCCTCTTGCTCTGGAACAGCCTGACCTTCGGGGCGCTTCTGAAGATGAGGTGAGTTGAGGAGAAGTAAATGAGCTGTGGGGATGGGAGAGGTGGTGGACAATGCTGATCACGTGAATGGAGCGAGTGAGCAAGACCTTTAACATCTTCAGATCTTTTGCAATCTTTTCTACCAGTTCTGCAAATGCTTGGCCTCTGTGCACATACCTAGATCAAACCCTAGATAAATTTTTAACTATCTACATGACTAAATAATTAGACTGCGTCTTCCCACCTTGATTTGAGCCTCCTAATATGGGACCAGGTATACCCTCTCCCAGTCAGATGTTCAGAGTGATGAACTAACCCCATGTGTCATGATGTGGCCAGCCAGGAAATTAACAACACAGGAAAAATGGAGATCTGGATTCTTGAAATTCCTCCTCCTCTGTAGACAGTATGAGCTATGCTGATCCCCCTTGGGGAGAAAGAACCCGAGTTATTTGTTCATGGGGCTCTGTGGTTTGTGCATCTAACAGTTATTCCATTGCAGGAGGAGGGGGCTTGTTTCCCCGGGACCCACCCCCCGCCATTTTAGACCATATTTGAACCCCAGCCCCCTACAGGCAAAGGAGAAAGGCTGCCTAGCCTCTTCCTACCGCTTCTCCTCTAACCTCTGCATGCGCTCCTGGAGTTCCCGCTGCTTCCGGATCTCTGGGAACTGCTTCTCATAGTACTCCCGCACTTTGCTCTCCTTGGCACGGCGCCGGGGGTTATTTTCTATGCGCTCCACTTTCTTTTCCCAGGCTTCCATCAGCTGGTCATAGCGCTGGCAAAACTTCTGTTCCTGAAAGGGCAAGTGAGAGGGGGAAGATCAGAAAACAGCCCCAGACAGAGCAGCTCCTCAAGCCCTTCCCTCGATGGCTTGTTGGGCTGAAGAGCAGCCAAGCCGCAGAGAACAGTAGCAGGGTTTGTTAGGTAAGTTGCACAGGGCTGGGGACCAGAAAGAACAAGGAAGCTCAAATCAAGTGTTCTGAACAGAGGAGATTTTGTTCTTAGAGTTGGAAAACTTCCACGATGTCCTTGTCCTAAAGGTCCCTTTCTGAGTGGGACTTTGCTTTTCCGAAGCACTGAGTATCTCCAAACACTTTACACACATCCATCCATTAATCAAAGCCAGTCTCCCCCCCACCCCCACACCAACGAGGCAGATACGGTTCTGCTAGGAGATGGGATAAGATACACATAAGGAAACTGAGGTGCCCAGAGAAGACAAAGGACACAACGCAGGAGTAGAAGGCCCCCCACGTCCCTGATCTAATCACTGGATGACATTTCCTCCTGTAGACTGTTACTCTCATTCACTGTCTTTATCAGCAGCGTTTAAGAACATGTGGTTACAAGGACAACACACGCACTTTGGGTAGGTCTACACTGCAATCAGAGGTGTCCTTGCAGCTTAAGGAGGCAGACCCACGTTAGCTTCCATCTAGCCAGCAAGGCTACAAGTATCAGGGAAGACGTGGCAGCACAAGCTGTCCAAGTGCACCAGGAGTTCATGGTGCTACGTCTCCGCTGCTGTCTGTAGCTGGGCAAGTGCGGATACAGCTGGCACAGGTAGGCCTGCCCGAGCGACAACCACACACCTCCGACTGCAGCGCAAACGTGTCCTAACTACCGACGCTGGAACTAGTCCTTCCAACCAGAACAGGGGAGCAAGGGCCCCGTTCTCCTCTTTGTTTCACTCTGGACAGGGCCAGATAAGCACCTAAGGTAGGCAGGCAGGCAGATGTACTTGCACCGGGTGTGCAAAAAACAGAAGCTCCTTTGAAAATCTAGCCCAAGATCGACACCTGCTGTCGGGTGTGCGCTAACGCCTCCCACTGAAGGCTTTGGAAGCTGCAAACCCATAACATGGCTGGAGTTTGTTCTAGAGCAGTAAGGAAAAAATTAACCAAGACATGCATTTCACAATCCCAACCGCATCACCATCACCATCACCATCCGCATTAAAGTGGAGCCTACAGCCCCAAATGAGATTCAAGCCCTATTGGGCAGGCACTGTTAAAACACCTCCCCTCCCCCCCCCACAAAGGCTATTGAAATCCCTTTGCACCAGCCCCACGAGAGGTGGTCCCAGCCCTGAAGAGCCTGCAACCTAAACAGACAAGACACACAAGGGGCACGAGGAAAACAGAGAGATGAGATTTCAACTGCATTACAGTCAAGGCCTGAAGCATTTTGTTTCAGAAAAGAATCGCCAAAACCATAAGTACCTCCAAGTAATTCCCAGGTGGAGAAGAGCAGCACTTGAGTCAACACAGCAGGATTAATGAAACTTCAGTGCCAAAGCTGCTGCAAACAGAGTCTCCGGGGGATAAGGAGCAGAATATGGCTGGTTTCTCCCGTGGATAAGTTAGAGCATCTCAAAAAATATCCCTATATTACCAAAACTCATCAATACTCAAAGTCCTGCTATTGCCACAAAGATTTTACGGTGATTTTTCTTCAGTCTTCTATGCCCTGGTGCATCTCAATCAGAAAGGATGAGAAGAAAGAGAAAAACAAACAAAAATATACCAGAGAGGAAAAAAAACAATCCATAAGAGTTGTTCCTGAGGGAACGGAGTCAACCTTTTGCATCCCCACATGAAAGAGCAAACTAGAAGTGTCAGCACTAGGTGCTGGCAGGCTTCCATGCCCTGTGGAAGTCAGTCAGTCTCTCTCTCTCTCTCTCTCTCTCACACACACACACACTTACTTTTGAGAATTGGAGGCCATTTCTTTGGAAGCCCAACCTGAAACACTGAGGGGAAATTGGATTCTCGTGATGGCTGGTGGTTTTTCTTTAATAATTAGCGCACTCAACTCCTGTACAACGCTTTCAGCCTTCAAAGCCCTTCACCAATGTCAACTGAGGTTTTGGTGAATTCAAGCGCTGCCTACGAGCACAGAGCCCTGGATTCTTGGAGCCACGCATGCGGTGCAAACTCTAGCCACAAACGACCCATGGAGAATTCCCCTGGCTGACAGAAACACCCTACTGGCATAAAGCTGGACACGACTCCTTCCCCAGCACCCCACCCAGGAGAGGGGATGTGGTGGGAGAGGGAGGGGCATTGTGGAACAGAGCTCAACCAATTCTTCAGTAGAGGTAGTGATAAGTTAGAGGCAACAGGGAGGTGGAATTCGGGCACAGGGGAAAATTGAGTCCAGGCGTGTTCAGCGTGTCAGTGCAGACATCCCAACCCAGCCTCACACCGTACCCCAAACCTGACATGGGGGACCAGCCTGCCCCAGAGCTCCACCAATGCTTCCATGCACATTCCCCATCAACCCACGCAGGACATCCTAAGCATACAACTAAATCCAACCAATGGTAGGGATACAAAGTGATTCTACAAGCAGGGATTCTGTGCATTCTGCTTCCTGTCGACTCCCAGCAAGGTCTCATTTGATGGCAAGGTGGGTTTCCCAAAAGACACAATGGAAGCCCGACTGCTTAGGACATTTATATACTCAACCAGATAGCAGGCTTGATCGGAGACCAGACCAACAGGAGAAGTTCTCCTCCAGCAGGAGTGGGGAATCACAGAGGCTGGATATGAAAGAGACCTACTATATTCTCGCCTCCAATGTACTATTTTTCCTTACTTTATATTCGCACCTGTGCTCTGCGCTGCCCAGTTTTAAATGACTCAAGCAATAACTGGTAGGTCTTTTACATCTCTAATGTCTAAGGATCATTTATTCTCTTGGAAGAAGAGACATTTGGAAAAACTTCCTAACTGTCAGAGTGGTTTTAAGCACTGGAATAAATTGCCTAGGGAGGTTGTGGAATCTCCATCATTGGGGATTTTTAAGAGCAGGTTGGACAAACACTTGTCAGGGTGGTCTAGATAATATTTAGTCCTGCCTTGAGTGCAGGGGACTGGCCTAGATGACTTCTTGAGGTCCCTTCCAGTTCTATTCTTTGTTTCTTCCCTTTAGGGATATAAAGTTTAAGGGGGTAGACAGAACCCTAGGAAATGCAGAAAACATAGTTCATCCCATTCCCTACTGGCTCTGGTCATTTTACAGTATGTACATACACACACACTTCCATCAGTATGCAGGAAGGTTTGCCTGAGTAGCTTCCATTGCTGCTCAGCCCATACAGTTCTGTTCCTTCCCATTGGTGTAATTTAAAAGACTGTCCTTCTCTGGACACTAAAAATACCCTGTTAGCAACACTAAAGCGCCTAACCAGGAAACCAAGGTAAGAGCGAAGGCGTTCAGGCCTGTTACCACACCTTCTGAGCAGCCAGAGAAGCTAACAGTGAAACAGAACAGTCCAAGTGCAAGGAGGGGGGCAGGGCGCCGATTGAAAAACATGGCTCTGCAGGCCAGATTCTGCTCCAAGTTACACTGCTGTAAACTCAGAACAACTCCATGCAACTTCCTTCTGGCACAGCCATCCCCCTGCCCACCACCATATCCAAGCACCTCCCAAGTATTATGGTTTTACCCTCATAACGAACGCTAAAGTTTCACTCCGATTAAAAGGTACCCCCTCCCTCCATGGGAATAATACTCTCTTGCATGCTAAAGCCTAGGTCACACCTTTAAGGCAGCACCCTGAAAAGGGACCGTGTGTAAGCAGCGCCCCCCAGAGGGCACTGGGCCTCAGACACAATTTATTCCCTTCTGCCCTCTTGCTCTGGGTGGGAGGCAGTAACTTACTGCAGCTTATTCCCACTGTTATGCCTGGCCAGCCCGTTCCCTGCAGAAAGACCTAAGTGAGGAGCAGCGGCTGGCGCTGCACACTAGACCCACACCCAAGATTCAGGGAGGTCGTACTTGGCCACACAGTGGGTGGAGCCGTCCATATTTGGCTGGGGAAGGCAAGAATGCAGCCCAGCCATAACCGAGCGCTCCCCCAGCTAACCAGACAGGCCCTTCCAATGGTCACGCTTTCATCCTTCATGCTGGGGTTCAAATCAAACTCAGGTCCAAATGAAGGCAACCGGGTTTGCCAGTGGGGATTTTCAGGTTTCATTCTGAGTGACACTCACCCACTCTAGGCCAAAAATCAGGAAGTGAAAGCAGATGCCACTTTACCAAAATTCAATAGCCAACCCCAACCCCCCCCCCCCCCGCGTCACGGAGTTCTCTAGTTTCTTCATCAGTCATGCTCCGGGTCACAGCATCCAACACATCGCAAATCCAGATTTCAAAGAAATACAACCTCCTCTCCATCAGCTGTGCCCCACTGAGGGGGGAAGGTCTGCAGCTGTTAGCTTCCCCACAGGTCTTACTCTCATCCAGTAACTTTCTCCTTCGAAAGACGCCTGACTGAAAGCTTTTGATGTGAGTGGGAATCTCTCCATTGACTTCACTGCGTTGTGGATCAGGCCCAAAATCTTGAGTGGGTTGCCATTTGCCATGCAGATGGATCATGTCATTTATACTGGACACGTCCAACTCCGGCGTCCGTTGTACAGCAGTTTCAAAGCAGGGGAGAGCAGCCACGTCATCCAGAAACGAACCCGGGCTCTTTTCCTATGGCCCCACTCCCCACTTGCGTTGGTTATTGTCAGAAATGGCACCTCGGTGCTGTGAATGCGTGCTCACTATGTAACCCGAGTCATACTGACGCACCAGCCTTGCACTGAAGAGTCTGCGTCCCTCGCGATAGGCAATCCTGATCTGGTGTAAGCGAGTCCATCTCCTACTGGAGGCAACAGGAGCTGTGCCTGCTTACCCCAAGGCCAAACTTGGCCTGATGTGACCTGCTTTGCTCCTCACGTCATCAGTAACATTTCAGTTCCAGCACCTTGACTGCCAGCAATGATGGTGGGAAGCAGA